CACCCAGCTAATTTTTAATTTTTATTTTTTGTAGAGACAGGGTCTTGCCATTTTGCCCAAGCTGGTCTTGAACTCTTGGGCTCAAGCAGTCCTCCTGCCTTGGCCTCCCAGAGTGCTGGGATTATAGGCATGAACCGTCACACCTAGCCTGTGCACAGTTTTAATATATTTTGGTGTCATATGAGGCTTTCAAATGTTTGAATGAATTGCATTGGTGACCATTATGATGTTACTAAAGTTCATTTTTTAAAAGAATTAATGCATTCTTGGTGGGTATATAACAATCTGATGGATTTGGCAATAAGTATATTTTCTAGGCCTTGAAAAATTAGCTTTGATAAAGCCATTCTACTACTAGGAAGTTAGCCTAAGAAAATTATTAAGATACAGCTAATACAACTTGCCTATGAGAATGTTTATCATGAAGTTGCTTACAAAATAGATAATGTAAACTGTCCAACATCAGGGAATTGGTGAAAGGAATCATGGTACTTCCCAGCTGCTATCATTACACGGTAGATTATTTATTGACATGGAAAGATGGCCCCAGCATGTTCAGTGTAGAAAGATAGTTAAAAGAGGTGTGTATAATATAAATCCTTCTTGAACAGTACATTTGACATAGAGGACAGATTTCCCATGAAGGAGCTTTTATCTTTATATTTTGATATTTAAGTTATAAAAACAATTTTTAAAAGTTTTAAAAAATATTTTGTACTGTGGGTTAGACAGCTCTCTAGCTGTAATATAGTAACTATAGTTTTCTTTGATTGCAGGGTAATTTATATGAATTTTTGAAGCTTACTGGATGGAGAGGATCCAGAGTGTTGTATTTTGGTGACCATATATACAGTGACCTGGCGGTGAGGAGCCCTTTTCTCCTTTGTTGGGGGACAGATGTGTTAGCCTCACTTACCAAAGAATGTATCTTTTATTTAAGAATGTACCTTTTATTTAAGAATGTATCTTATATTTAAGGTCGTCTTTATGCTTTCGTAAAACCTAGAGGTAGGCTGCATCTTTTTAATGTCTCATTTTTTTTTTTTTACAGAACAGAGTTGTGAAAAAGATAAATATTTTTCGGAAATGATGGAAATAAGCAGTTCACTCAGAGTTTATCAAAATAATCTTTCCATTTAAATAATAATAAATAAATGCCATTGTTCTTTTTCCTTTTATCAATGCATCAAAAAACATAAATAAAATCCACCTTTGAAAGTTTGCCGCCATTGGGAATATGTAAAAGAATGTGCTGTAGGTTTTCATGTATTATTAGGAGAAAGAGAAATATTCAAAGACTTCAAGAAACTGAACCAGTGGGCTGGGCACGGTGGCTCACACCTGTAGTCCTAGCACTTTGGGAGGCTGAGATGGGTGGATTACTTGAACTCATGAGTTTGAGACCAGCCTGGGCAACATTGTGAAACCCTGTCTCTACTAAAAATACAAAAATAATCTGGGCGTGGTAGCACACGCCTGTAATCCTAGCTACTGGGGAGGCTGAGGCAGGAGAATTGCTTGAACCTGGGAGGTGGAAACTGCAGTGAGCTGAGATCATGCCATTGCACTCTAGCTTAGGGGACAGA